TTGCTAAGGAACTTGGTAATCTTGAAGCTACACACAAGAATTAAGCACAAGTTTGGAAGATTAAAGCTCCTAAGTGAGTAATCAACCCTTAATTCATAAGTTTGAATTGTGAGTTTGTGAATTGAAGATTAAATGGTGGGTTAGATCATGAATTGAGTTGTATTTGTTGAATTTAAAGTCAATAGATTCATGCATGTAGGAAATTACCATGAATTTCCGTATTTTAGCACAATGTGTATGATCCATGTTGAATTTTTGGTTTAAGTCCATATATTTGAGCACCCCTTCACCAATTAAGTTGAGGACATTGTGTATATTCCACATGTAAGTGCAAATCATGGGTGAACCTTAAATGTTTGAATTTAGTGTGTTGGTGATGAGTTTGAGTCAATTTGGGACATGCATGTGTTTGATTCATGAAATTGAGCTTCATTGTGTTGTGATTTGGTGTTTACACCATGTTAGTACATGTATATGTGATGTTTGAGCCAAAAGCATGCATCTAGAACCTTTGAATGTCGAATTGAAGCTCAAGAACATGTTCTGGATTTTCCAGAATTTTGATTCCCGCTCGAGCGGGGAAACCGCCGGTCGAGCGTGAAATTCGTGTTCCCAGTATTTTTTACAGACATGGTGTCCGCTCGAGCAGGGAGCCATGTAGAGAGGCCTTCCACTCGAGCGCCAGAGTTCGAGATCGAACGTAAATTTGACATATCCAGTACTTTTGTAGGCCTCTAGGGTCCGCTCGAGCGGCGATCCTGTTTTCTAAAATTTTGAAAAGACATTTTGTGTTTCATTTTCTGTTCTCTTTCACTTCCAAGTACTCTTAGGCATGCATTAAGCATTGTAATTGAGTTAAAGAGAAAAGAATGAAGCCTAAAGAGGAAAATGTAAATTTAGAACGGATCAAATTGTTTGTTACCCTTTTGTGTTCATGGAATTTGTAAGGTCGAGCTCCAGGGCAAACCAACCAACCGATCACTGTGAGTAATATCTTAACAGAGATATCTGTAACATGTTGTTGTCCAATTGCTTATTTCTATGTAAGTTTTATAAGTTCATTGGTTCGACTGGCGGACAATGTTTGTTATACCAAATGAGTGGGCCAGAGGCTGTTTTGACATAAGTAAATGGGCCAGAGGCCGTTTTGAGAAGAAGGAATGGGCCGGAGGCTGTTTTGACAAGAATGAATGGGCCGCAGGCCGTTATAACATGAACGAGTGAATGGGCCCAAGGCCGTTTTGTCATCTGAATGGGCCAAAGGCCATTTTGACACAAATGAATGTTTGAATGGGCCAAAGGCCAGTTTGTTCGGAACCCCAGTCACTTGACCTAAATTGTGTATATTTGTTAAATAGAAATATGAGTTGGGCCTAAGGCCGTTTGAAGCATGTTGTTCTACATATCGTATGTATAGCTTCTTTAATTGATATTATTCACTGGGCTTTCGATCACGCTCATTCATTTGTTTGTAGGTGAGGCAAGGGAAGTCCAAACCCAGCCCCAGTGAAGTCTACGTGGAACAACAAAGGTTTTAGGAGAGTCAGCCCTTGTGTCTCATGCACGAGACCTGTCTTTGCCCTTTTGTTATGTATTTATATTCTGTCATGTTGGCAAAGACTTTGCATCTGTTGTATATAGTCGTGATGGGTTGACTTAGATTTATATGATCCAGTATGTACAGAACCTTATGTAGTGCATATTTTGTTATGAGTTATTAATATACATATGTATGGTTTGTTATGATGTGCCATGTAAGCACAGCTCTATGGACAAAATTTGAAATTGCTTCCATTTGGCCCCCATTAACTCTGTTAAAATACGTTTGGTTTGGTTTGAGGTCATAGGTAATCTCATGATTACTGGCCGGTTATGTCCTTAACCCATGAGGGCGGGTTCGGGTCATGACAGAGTGGTATCAGAGCACGAGTTAATAACTCACACACTTGTTCGAAAGAGCAATAAGCGTCTAGAAAAGATCTAGGATGCATTCATGTGATAAGTATGAATTTGGAAGCATCGAGAATATGCCTAGCTGTTTTGATATGAACAATTATGTGCGATAAGTTTGTGAATTGCTTGCATTGCAACTATTTGAATATGTGCGCTTCCTAGTATGTGCATACTTGTGTATCTTTTGTATAAAGTATAATGTAAGTTTAATCAGATGGTGAGAACAAGAGGCGATGAGATAGAGAAGTCCTCTACTGCCAGAATAGATGGAATGGAAAGACTGATACAGTAAATGGCAGAAACTTTGAGACAGGAATAGGAGTGGCAACAACAGTGGCAGCAACCACATCTGCCACCCCCACTTCCGGCACCACCCGTGCCAAATAATCAGAATGATGATCGGATAATAGCTCTCACCAACGAATTCAAAAAGATGAAACCACCACAGTTCCATGGTGGATTAGATCCGTTGAAAGCCGAGGCATGGGTTCTCAGCGTTGAGAATCTGTTTGAAGTGTTCTCGTGTTCAAAGACACAGAAAGTACTTCTAGCCACTTTTATGCTAGAAGATGAGGCAAGAAGATGGTGGATGTTAATGCAAAAAAATCATAAGGATGTTGACTGGGTGAAATTTCTTGAGATTTTCTACGGCAAGTACTTCCCACAATGTGTACGGGATAGGAAAGTAGCAGAGTTCATGGAACTTAGGCAAGACAGCATGACTGTAGCTGAGTATGAGGCCAAATTCACTGAATTAGCCAGGTTTGCACCACACGTGATTGACACAGACTATAAGAAGGCAAAACATTTTGAAGGTGGGCTCCAAAGTGACATTTTAGAAAGAGTGAATGTCTTGAAGCTGGGGACCTTCATTGGGGTGCTAGACAGGGCCATCATATCAGAGGCTAACATAGCTAGATAGACTAAGTCAACAACTGACTGGAAAAGTAACAAAAGGCAAGGCTTCTTCTCAAAGAAGAAATTTTCAAAAAAGCAAAATACGAACTCCTTAAATACTTCAAATTCTTACAAGTCATATGGGTCGGTGTAAAATAAAATAAAATAAATAAATAAAAATCTACTAAAGTAGAGAAATGGGAGATTCCTCGTAACCGTGAAAACTTACTCACCACTATGACCCATAACCTTCCAAAATTCCACGTCATGGATCAAATAAAAGATCACAAAATAAATAGATAAATAATTATTAAAACCAAAATAATATTAAAATGATTCAACATTTACTATATGAATTTTATATATAATTAAAATTTTTAAAATGAATGATTCACCTTGAGTCAAGTCATTCTTTATTAAAATTATATATCAAATTCCTGTCTGTATTATAAGTAAATTTATTCATTGAAGAACCACCCAACTAATCAAAATTTGTTCGTGTTTATCAATTATAATAAATTTTATATATAATTAATTTTTTTTTGAAATGAATGATTCTCCTTGAGTCAAGTCATTCTTTATGAAAATTATATACCAAATTTTTGTCTGTATTCTATGTAAATTTATTCATTAAAGAATAACCCAACTAATCAAAATTTGTCCCTGTGTATCAATTATAGACTGAATTTTATATATAATTAAATTTTTTAAAATAAATGATTCCCCTTGAATCAAGTCATTCTTTATGAAAATTATATATCAATTTTTTGTCTGTATTCTATCTAATTTATACACTTATACTTCATTAAGTTGTCATTAAGATTTTTTAGACTTTCAAATCTCATTAAATTTTTAATAATCGGAATGGCCATTCAAACAATAATTGTTCACCATTTATAATTATCTATAAATGAACATAATGGTTTGACATTTATTTTGATTTTCAAAACTTTAAATATCAACTTTCAAATTGAAAAAAAAAAATTATGTGCAAAAAAAAAATTTAAAAAACTATTTTTTTATAAAAAAATTGAAATAATCGATTTTTTTTTTTTTGTGCAAAACTGAATATTTTGTATCTATAAAAGAACATGATGATAGAATATTAATATGCAAAACTAAAATAAATAAATAACTTTAAAAATGAAAAAATTGATAATTTTCTCAGTTTTGAAACTGAAAAAACTGATAATGTTCTCGATTTTATTGGATAATTGAATCAAACAAATAAATAGAAGGAAAAAAAAGTTTAATCTCATACTTTACTTTTTTTTTAATCAATTAGTGAAACAATTACCTAGATCATCATTATATAAAATCGATATTATTCTTAGTTTTAAAAATTGGAGAAAAGTGTGTTTGATTTGAGTTTTTTGAATTAAGTTTCTTGATTTTCGTGTTTTTTTTTTGTTTTTAGTAGATATTTTTTAAATTTTAAACGTTTTTTTTTACCTTTTAGATGTACCTTACTTAGATGTATCTAAAAAGTAAAAAATTTATGAAAAAATATTTTAAAAAATTAATAAATACATAAAAATACAAAAAATGTACTGAATTCTCATATTTTTTTTTTGTATTTTGGGTATTTAGTGAATTTTTAAAATGTTTTCTTCACAAATTTTTTACTTTTTAGATACATGTAAGTTAGGTATGCCTAAAAATTAAAAAAAATTACTTAAAATATTTTAAAAAATCAATAAAAACAAAAAAACATAAAAAATAAAAAAGTAGAATTTTCTGAAAAATATTTTTTGAAAAATAATACCAATCACAGTTTTACCAAATAAGAGTTATTAATTTAAAAAATCTTAAATAGAATCTGAACTACTATAACATTTGTAAATAAAATTTTTAAGTAATTAACTCTAAATTTATTCATTAAAGAATGACTCAACTCATCAAAATTTGTCCGTGTGTATCAATTATAGAATGACTTCCCAAGAAAAAAAAAAAAATTGGCCTATAATGCGAGAAGTTGATGGCGGGTCTGGGATTGTCCCAATAAGATCATAACTGATGAAGGGAATTAGATTCGCTAATTTTTATTGAATAATTAAAGAATATAAAGAGATATAATTAATTATGATTAATAAAGGATATGGTCACATAACGCCATGAGCAATCAATAATTTTTCCTATAATTCTAGCTTTTTTTCTGTATAAATCCACGAATACATAGCATCAGATAACTCGCACAGACAGAGAAAAAGAAAAAGAAAAGAGAGAGAGGGGGAGAGAGAGATGAGTAGTGGAAAAGAATTGGTGAAGAGATTAGGAGTTGAAATACAGAAAGGGGATGACTACTCGTTTGAGCAGTGGAGTATAGTTAGAGAATCAAACAGTGAATCATCTTATGAGGAAGGTGCTGTGCTAACCACCAAGAACAAAAACACCATCACCACAGTCACCCTCCTCAACCGTCTAGTTGAGGTAAGAAATGAAATTATATACAACATTTTTCTTAATTAGGATTTGAGGTCATTGGCCTCCTTGGATTTGGGTTTTTTTGATAGAAAATGCTATAAAATTACTTTTATCAACTTATAATTTATCTTGAATGATAGAGATTAACATGAGTAAAATGAAATAAAATCACTAATTCTTTTTTGTTGATAAATTCTGAGTTCGTAACTCTGATTTTGTAGTGTTGTTTTTTAATAATTTATAATTCATTTGGATTGATTGATTTGGAGAGGGAATAAAAAAATCTCTCTCATGGTCTTAATAATTTGTTTGAGTTATTAAAGAGGAGAGAAATGTGGAGACTTATAAAGAAAGAAAGATCAATTATTTTATGGTACCATTTATTTTTTGAATCTCTTTAAAATTGGATAAATTGAGAGAAAATAAATGAAATGATTACTAATTTTATGTAGCACTAAAACTATTATTTAGGTCTCGTTTGAAAATAGGTTATTTTAATAATTTTTTAATTTTTTAGTTAAAATATGAGATTAAAAAAATTATTATATTTGGAATGATTTTTAATTTTTTATGAAAAAATATCTAAAAAGTAGAGAGAAATGAATCTTTGATTTTTTGACATAAATTGTTGTTTTTTACTTTTTTTTAATGACTTTTTGACTTTTAGACTAAAACAGTAAATTGTCAAACGAGGCCTTAATTTGTAAGATTTTCTTTTCTTTTCTTTTTCCTTTTATTTAGTCTATTTAGTCTACAACAATGATTGAGATTCCTAATTTTGGAGATTTCCATGACTCCCAAAATTATTTGAATCAATGAGAGAGAAATAAGGAAAAAAAAAAAACAAAATGAATACATGAGTGGTCCAGATCATTTTGGAGATCATAGAGGTCCCCAAAATTGGGAGTCTCAATTATTTTTGATTTAGCCTATGATATGCACTTATGTGCATACCATATGCATCCTATCAATAAAATTTCATAATATTAATTAAAAATTATGAAATCTCATTACAAATTAACATAATAAAATACATAAAATTTTGTGCTTCATATTACAAAAATTTGTAACTTGATTACGATATTTTTTGTTATATCAATTTGTGGTGAGATTATGTATTTTGTAATTGATTTTATAAAATTTTATAATAAAATTATGCCAATTTATGATAAATACATATGGTATGCACCTTAAGGGGATACACAGAATAAGCTTTCCCTTTTATTTAAACCAGATTTCGTGAAGGGAAAAACAAATACAGTAATATCTTTTTTTCAAAAATGAATTGGTTCGGGAATGATGTGTCAAGTATTTGTTTAATGAAAAAAAAATTAAATGATGTGTCAAGTTATGGAAAAAAAAAAAAAAAAAATTCAGCTTGCTTGTTTTCCAGAAAAATGATATCGAAACATAATACTGTATTCATCTTTCAGAAAATGTAAAAATAAAAAAAAAAAATTGAGACTAGGTTCTCTTTAGTCCAAAAATTGGACTGGAAGGTCCAGTTGAGGGGGGTTGTTGGCCTACCTGCATGCCCACCTCTGTAATCCAAATAATCAATTTTAGGATAAATTATTAATAGGTCATAATATTTAGACTTATTTCTCATCAAGTCCTATTGAAAATAAATTTTGGTAAAATTATCGCTAAAAATAATTTTTTTGTGGCAACTTTTTACATACATCGCTAAAAATTGACAATTAACAACTTTTTTTGTCATGATTTTTATAAATTGTCGCTAAAACTTACAATTAGTGAATTTTTTATGACAAATTTTTTTCCATAAAACCTATTAAATAATAAATTCACTTATTATGACTTACACGTAAGTACCCCAATATTTTATCACTGATACTTTCTGAGCAAATCACCTCTAAAAATAAATAAAAAATATTATTAACCATAGAGTGAAATTTATATTTGTATCCATTAATTTATACTATGGAAAATTTATATTTGTATCCATTAATTTCAAATCAAATGATTCATTAAAACGATTTACAATTTCCAAAGTACTACTCTCACATCATTCTAGTAAAATTTTTTATATAAATTTTTTTATTTGTAAATCATTTTCCTTAACCAAATAATTGAATCAAATTTTTCTTGAAAAAAGAAAAGGGTAAAATGCAAGTACACCCCCTTTGTCTCCTGTGATTCTAAAAATTATATCATGCCCCTTAAAATTCTAATTTCATAACAAATGTCAAATTTCATTAATAAATCATCAAGTCAATTAACAATTTTTAATGATGTCAGAAATTTATTTTAATTAATAATTCAGGTTATTTTATCATTGTATAGAAGAGCAGTCAGAAATTTTAGTTTTTTAATTAACTCGGTTACATAAAAAATTCTGACAATAAAGTATTTATAATTTTTCAAATCACATGAAACAATTCGTATCTTTGGTAAACTTCAAGAGGTGTATTTGTAATTTACTCTTAAAAAGAGGGGAAATCCTATGATGTGCACCCTTAGGGGTGCATACCATGTGCACCCTATCACAAATTGGCGTAACGTTATCACAAAATTTTATAATATCAATCACAAAATGCATAACCTCACTACAAATTAACATAACAAAATGTCTAAAATTTTGTAATTGATATTACAAAAAATTTTGATTTGGTTACAACATTTTTTATTAAGTTAATTTGTGACGAGATTACATACTTTTAAAAAAATTGTAATAAAATTACACCAATTTATAGAGCACATATTTCCACCATAGGCCTTCCCTAAAAAAAAATGGTAACTATGATTTCAAGACCATCTATTTTTGTTAAATATCTTCCAATATCATCGACATTTCTTACATAAATTATGTACTTGACGGAAGATGAATGATTTGAATCTCAAGTAGGCCCACAGTCCCCTCAATTGGACTCAGTTCCATGAGAGGAAAGCTTTCTTTAAAAAAAGTCCATACAAGTTATAAAACGGTTGTATCACTTCATCACCGAATAGTATTCGCAATTAATAATAAATTACCATGTATTATTAATTTACCATGTAGACACAATAAATCTTATTTGCTTGGAATAAATTACATTTCTTAATAATGGGTTCACTAGTATGTTGAATTTAAACTATTTTTTAGATTTTTTTTGTAAAAAAAGTTAATTGATTCAATAATAGTAATCACATAATTTTTTTAACAGAAAGTTCGCAAAGATACACGGTGAGATTGGTCCCCCAAGGATTAATCGAGGTGCACACAAGCTGGTCCGGACACCCTGAGTTATCAAAAAAATAAAATAAAAATGAGCAGCTAAGTAGGCAATTGGGTTATGTTAATTTATGTTGTTGATTCAGTTGTATGTTGTTGTTGTTGTCATACAATAATGTTCATTTCAGCATTGCTGCCGTTGTAATTTGCTTGATTTTCTATGTTTGTGTAAATTAATTTGTAATGGTCATGTTTGATGTTCTATCCAATGTATGTGTACTTTTCATTCCATAATTAATTGTGTTTGATTTGTTTCAGAACATTTCTCTTCTCATATCTGTTTTCACTAAAAATACTATCTTTCCAATAATTATTTGCATGTTTATTTTGTTTTTTCTCTCTTTACATCCATGGATTTATGAAAGTCATACCGATTTTATTTTAATAATTTATTTTATGGACTGAACTGTATGGTTGGACAGATATGATTGATGATGATGAACAGATGATTTGGTGATGTTGTTGTTGTAGACTTGATCTGTTTTGGTGATGTTGTTGTTGTAGACCTGAAGTTGATTTTTATTTTTGGCTAGGGAATTTCTGGGGTTGGGGAAACCCGATCCTCGTTATGGGGCGGCAATGGGGGCGATAATAGCTTCCCCGTCGGGGATCGGGGCCGGGTACGGGGCCATTTCCACCTTCGGGGATTGGGGACGGAGAGTGTGATCCCCGGCCCGGCCCGGCCCGGCCCATTGCCATTCCTAGACTCAAACTCTAGGTCACCCTTATCAAATCATTATTCTCTCTTTACCATTCTTTATTGGGGGAAATAACTTGGCCATAATGTCAAGAAAAAGTAATTATATATATATATATATATATATATTAAAAGTAATGTTTTTTTTCATACTTAGGTGACATATTATAAAGATTTATTTTTTTCTAAAAGAGCCATGTCAGTATGTATTTTTCTTAATTACATATAGAGTTGTATACAAATCTAAACCTAATTTAAATTATACTAACTTCACATATTTTATATGAATTCTATTTGACAAATATTTCTTTTCTGCATATTTTTCATTGCAAATTAAGGTAATTCTACAAATCCAATACTAATTTCGTATTTTACGTTTTTCTTCTTAATTCTTTCAAGGATATTAGGATTTTTTTTAATACTAAATTATTATTTTTTTCCTTTTTTTTGTGTGCATTATTCTATATCCTATACCAATTCTATATAATTGTCGTTTAAATTTTATAGTGATTCTATACATGAAATTAAACTTCATTTCCTATATTATTTTATATAGTCACAACTTACAAGAGGAAAAATTTGCACAGTAAGACACAAACACACTTATACACACACAAAGGCAAAAAGAGAGGGAGATATAGAGATAGATAGATAGATACACTATGCAAACCCTAATCTTAGAGCTCTCGGGAACTTTTTTGTAACCCTTAAGAAGGGAGGAGGAGGCCTCCCTTTATAGTGGATCACTCTTGCAAAGCTTACAAAACAAGCTAAGCAAGAGTGAAATCCCTCCATATGGAGGGAGGCAAAGTGGGTGCCTGCTATCACAGCTGGCACAAAATATCTGCCAAAAGCAGATTTACAGTGGTCGGCCAACCAAAGATGCCAAATTGGCCAAAACAATGGTCGGCCGACCAGAAAGAGTGCCGACCGGCCAAACATTTGGCCAATGGAAACAAAACATGGCCGGTGAGGTGTTGGGGATGGCTAACAAGCCACTCCCTGCCCTCCAAAGCAAAAACACAAGTTTTTTGTGCAAAACCAAACACGAAACAGTCGAGTCGAGAGATCCTAAGG